CTGTGTAAGTCGCTCCGTTCTCCTGCATGCCCTCTCGTCTCTGCATGGCCGCCTAACCTGGTCTAGAACGGGAGGAAAGGAGCCGCGTGTTCTAACAGCGCCTGAAAGCGTGGTAGAGGGGGGGTGCGTGGTGGTCGCTCGTATCTGCAGAGGTTAGGGAGAGCGAGGTTCCTCGTTCCCTCCGCTCCCCATCCCTGGTGGAGGCACCGGGAGCCCCTGCGGTTCTATCCTGTGTTACAAGGAGTGATTTTAAAGCATAGGCTTTTACTAAGCTCATTCCTGTGAGGATGTGTTCAAGTCCTTTTCTCTAGATTTAAATGAATTCTCTACACCAGGTATTCAAACACCATTGACAGAACTTGTGTCTCTGAATAGCGTGGATGAGCACGGAAACCAAGAAGTGTGATGTGGGCCTTCAGGGCAGCTGAGCAGGCTGCTGGGAGCATCGGTGTCAAACACGAAGGGCTGGAGCTGTGGGCGGCTTCCTGGTTTGGCTCACGCAGTCACAGAATCCCAGATTGTTTGGGGTTGGCAGGGCCCTCTGTGGGTCCCCCAGCCCAACCCTCTGCCCAAGCAGGGTCACCCAGAGCAGGCTGCACAGCACCGCGTCCAGGCGGGTCTGGAATATCTCCAGAGAAGGAGACTCCATAGCCTCCCTGGGCAGCCTGTGGCCAGCCGGGGCCAGGGCTCCGTCACCCTCAGAGGGAAGAAGTTCTTCCTTTCTATGCTGGGGTTTGAGGTGCTTTGAAGCCTGATGGCAACAGGAGGCTCGCGGGAGGATTTTTAAGCTCCACATGAGATAAGTGATGGTCCTGGATTAATGCGTTTAAGCGTAAATTCACGAGGCTGGGCAGAATTGAGCAGTTGAAGGGTACAGTGAGCAGCTGAGCAGAGCCCAGGTGAAGCTTTTGGGAGATGATTGCTGTTTAGTGAAGTTCTTCTCCTCTGCTTTCTCTTCTTGAGCTGAATCTGAACCTGTTTGTGCTACAGATCTGCAGCCGTGGCCTGGGGCGGCGTGAACAGAGACGGGCTGGGGCTGACACCCTCTGGGGCAGGGCCGGGCGCTGAGCCCCGCAGCTGGGTGCAGTGCGCTCTGCTCTCAGACAGGTGCTCTTGTTTCTTTTTTATTTCCTTCGTTCAGTCTCACCATGCGGATAATGGATTAACGTGTCCCTCGTTATCTGCTCTGCCCCACGCAGACCAGTGGTTGTGCGTAATTGCAGATGCCCTGGAGTTTTAAAGCTGGAGCTCTGCAGCGTGTCCAGTGTCTGCGCATGACTGCTCCTTCTGTGTTGGCGTTATCGTGGAGAGCTTTTTTGATCCAAATACTCCGTGTGAATACTGCTCAAGTGAGCCATGCCCCAGAGATCGCAAGGCAAAAAAGGGTCAGAAGAAAAGGATTTTTCTTCCCCCCGCCCTCCCTTTCTAGCCTGAGTGAGGAGGCTCAGGTCAGGCAGATGAAGCAACTTCGTTGAGGTCACGCTCACGTGGTCTGTTGCAGAGCTGAGAAGAGAGCTCTTTCCCGAGTTCCCAGCACTGTGCCATCTCAGCTGGTGTCACTTTGAAGTATCCCAGATACAATGAAGTGGCCGTGCATCCGGGGCTCTGAACTGTTCATCCGCCCTTTGGGCTCTTCTGCAGGAAGGTTTTGGGTTCCCAGTCAGCCGCTTTATAAACACTTCTGTTGGGACTGGAGCTCACTGGCTCTGTGATATGTCCAGAGTGGGCTCTGGCCCTTCACTCCTGTCCTGCGAGTGTGCATCAGCCGATTTCGGGATGGCTTGAGCTGTAGTTGGTGCCCAGACTCCCTCGGCACCCGGTGAGGAGGTGACAAGGCAGGGCTCGGCACAGAATGTCCCCAGGCAGAGCCTGGGCTGGCTTTGAGCTGTAGCAGTCTGCTGAGTCCCAGAGCTTCAACACAGCGAAGGCACCGCTTGGCCGGGTTCCCCCGGTGAGTCAGGGTCGCTTTGCGTCCCGTGCCAGTCGGGAAGAGCCCGGCTGGCTCCTGGAGGCCATCTCGCGTGGGCCGGGCTCTCCGCAGGCGCTCCCCACCTCTGACAGCCTGACCAGCGCACACAAAGCGTGGGGTGGTTTTGCTCACTTGCACAAAAACCAGGATCCCTCCGTGCCCCACCTCGCTTGCTGGGCTCCACGCTGCCGACGCATTCCTCACCTGCCCTCCTTCTTTCCCCATAGGTATTTTTGCATAAATATAAGAGCAAGGAGGAGGAAGACGCAGCTCAACTGGACAAGAATTCAGCCTTCTCTAAAGGCCTCCTTTCCAGCCAGAAGGTGCCTTACCAGAATGGACATGCTGGGAGCCTCTTCTCTCCTTGCTCCTCTTCCTCCTCTCCTCCGGCCGCCGGCTCGGCTCTGTGCGTCAGCTCCTCCTGCGACGTCTCGCTCATGATGATGGTGGGAGAACCGGACTCGGTGGTTCCTAGCCGAGGGATCTGCCTGGACTTGGCTATTTTGGACAGTGCTTTCCTCCTCTCTCAGGTTGTCCCCTCCCTCTTCATGGGGTCCATCGTCCAGTTTACGCAGTCGGTGACTGCCTACATGGTGTCCGCTGCCAGCTTTGGCCTGGTAGCCATTTACTTTGCAACCAAAGTTGTCTTCGATAAGAGTGACATGGCGAAGTATTCGGTGTGATGCGGAGGGCGCGCGTGGCGGAAGGAGACGTGTGTGCGTTGGCACGGCCGCTGGTGGGAAGCCTCGCGTGGCATCTGCTCTCCCCGCGCCCCTGCTGCAGCCCTGGGGACGGGGCTGGGGCTGGGGGCGGGAGGGATGCGGCGGGGCGGATCTCAGGTGTAAATATGAGGCTTCGGGGCGTTGTGCTTCGGGCCATCAGTGCTTCCCAAAGGTGCCTTCATCAAAAGAAAGCACTGCACAGCCAGCACCAAAGGGGGTTGTACAGGGGGGAGAGAGGAAATGGATGTTTCCTTTAATAACGGGTCATGTTTCTGTGTAATTCTACCTAAACTGAGCAGGAGAGGCAGCGGTACGGGGAGGGGAGAAATCACTGGCTCTTCTGTTGCTGTATCCTCTTCCCCTGCTCGTTGTAGTTTTACTCAACTTCTTGAGCAATACTTCTGCAAATGGGACACTGGGAGGAGATTTCCTTGGGAAAAAAAAAATGGGTGGCTAAGGTCTGGCCACGGAGCAAAGGGGGTGTATACGTGTGCACGCACGCTTCCGTCCTTCCCCACCTCTGTTCTGACTGGGAGAAACCCTTCAGGAGAAAAGTTACTGTGTCTTGTTTTGGAAAAACAAGTCACGCTTCATTAGGACCAGTTCCAAAAGGTGACTTGTCTTTTACCGATGTACCGAGTTGCATCAGGTGGAAAGGATTTCTTACCTGTTTTTTTTTTTTTAATGATTGTTTTTAGCTTTCCTCACACAGTTCTCGGTAACTGTGACCTGTCCTCAGCGCTCAGAGCTGCCGCCTGCTCTCTCCCATAACAGATGTAGACTGTTGGGTATCTTCCACACCTGGCCCCGAAAGGATGCTGTGATATCACAAGAACGATCTGTTCTCAGAGAGGGTTTTCTGTCCTGTAACGAAGAAATAGAACAGGGAGAGCTCTCCTGGAAGGCTACGTGGGAACAAGTGTACCGTCGCTGGGGATGCCGGAGGAATTGCTTGTCTGCTGATGGCCAGCTGCACTCAGCAGCAGTCGCTGCTGTCGTAGGTACCTTGAGTAGGTCGCTGGCTGTGTCTGTTTTCCCTCGAAAATGTGGCCTCAAAGCAACCTGCTGGACCAGGCTCTTCTTTCTGGACAGAAAGGCTTTCGGCTGTGCTCGCAGAGCACGCTGCGGTGCCCGGTGCCCAGCGCCGTGGCTGGGTGAGCCCGCTGCCAGCACGCCCCGAGAGGCTGCTGGAGGCAGCAGTGGGATGGGGGGGAGGCAGGAGGAAGTGTGCCCACAGCCACTCCGGAGCTGCTTGCAGAGCAGGGTGAGCCTGGTTCCCAGTGTGTTGGACAAAGAACAAGCAGGACAGAAACTCTTGATGCTGCTTGTGCCTGTGGTTTGCTGATCCAGGTTACATACTTACTATGTTCTACTTGTTTGGGATTTTTTTTAAATTTATTTTAATTTCCAGACAAGAGTTAAGAGTCTTATTGAGGCACAGCATAAACACAGTTACCTGTTAGAGAAAGGCAAAGTGGCTCTTGCTCACGTAGCGCTGGGGCCAAATGCTCCTGGATTGTGCAGACTGTTTAGCTCCTGGGTGTGAGTCATCTTCCACAGCCCTGTGTCCTTCTGGCCAGTCCCATTCCCCGTACCAGCGGGCCAGCTGGAAGAACTCTGCTGGGGACAGACTCCTGCCACTCGAAGACTGCCCGTACACCAAGTGGGAGTCGAGGTCCTGGCCCACAGTCAGCACTTAGACTTTGGAATGGTCCAAACGCTGCCTGCAATGCGCAGAGAAAGGCGTGAACTGGGTGTGTGGAGGCCAGGCAGAAGGAGTTCGACAGTCCTTAACTTTGGCTGGCCTAAACAAAGTGTTTGTGAGTAATTTTCTGTGGAGGTGTGTGGGCAGCGAGAGGCTGGTGAGGTTCTGCTGAAGGGCAAAATGTTGCTATTTTTGCAAGGTCTTGTCAGACTACTCCTTGGCATGGAAGCAAGGTTACTCCCCTGCTGTCTGCAGACGGGTCCGGAGAGGGCTTCTCCGAAGGTTTTTAAACGTTTCTTTCCTGTAAAGGGTGACTGTTTTTGTTTTACTTCTTCCCAAATTATATGCCTACCAGCCTCCCTTTCCCACAACAAGGTTTGTGTGCTGAAATGCAGCTGTTTTGGGGACGGATTTGGCAGCTGCTTAACCACCTACGGAAACAGTTTTTCGTCTGCACCTCCCACCCTCGTGTCTGTTCGCTTCAGGCTTCAGGAGGAAGGCTTTGAGGCAAAACGTTATTGCTGAAGGTGGGGTGTTTCTTGGGTGAATGCTCCCAGGGAGCAGTAACCTCTAACCCCAGATTTTTCAAACATGTCCCTACTGAGTGCTGAAGAGTCCTTTATTTATTTTTGTTTTTTCTTACGTAAGACGTGGGGAACCTTCGCACGTGGAGGCTGCTACGATGCTAAGTGCTTTGGGTAATGGGGCCATTGAAGTGCGTGACGAGTGCTTCCACACCGAACTCCAGGTGTACAGGTTTGATGCTAAAGGCCTTGAATGCTTCACTACAGAAATTGAAGTGATCCTTGAAACAGCAGCAGGCTGGAGGTGGAGACAGCCTTGTTTTATAATGTCCTCCAGTTTGGAACATGAAGGAGCAAGGTGCTGCAGTGCTTGATCCATAACGTAGAACCATTACAGTTGGAAAAGACCTCGAAGATCATCAGGTCAAACTTTTATCTGTCATTCAAGAGGAGAAGGCTCAAGCCTGCCAGATTCCCCCCCTCCTGCCCTCCGTCCGCCGAGGGGGCTTTGGTGCAGCTGTAGCCTGGCCGTCGTGGTGGACACGAGTAGGTCTGGGCTCTCAGCACGTGCAGAGGCTCCGTGTCCTGGCTGAGCTGGAGGGCTTAGGACTAGTCGGTGTGGGTCAGGTCTCAGACCTGTCCGTCACTGACAGATCAAGCATGTCCTCGGCTGCCCTGTTCTCCCATCCCCTTCACTGCGCGGGGTCGTGGGCTTGGCACCCAGATCTCCTCGGCAAGTCTGGTGCCTGCATCCAGTGCACTGGTCCTAGGAGAGGGCAGGCTGGCTTTGTCCAGTTTTCTCATAATTCAGGTGTGCTTCTGGGAAGGTGTCTGCATTTACTTCAGTTCTGTTCGGAAAAGACCGCTGAGCGACTGAACGTGTGACTCTGCAGCCAGCGGCTCTTGCTCTGCGCTGCTGCGTCCCGGACGGGCGCCCATTGCCCTGCGTTGGCCTGGCCGGTGCCTGGACTGGTACAGAGCTCGTTCTCCGTTCCAGCCGGAGAGACACAACCCAGTCTGGACCAGGGGCTCCTCATCCACTTGTCCTCCGGCTGCTGCTCTCATTT